TCCATCCATTAAAACATGAATACATTCATATCATATTTTTTTTTTCCCATCTAATCTTTCTCAACAACAAATGATTCATACCTAACCTTTCATATTTCAAAATTCAAACCACTAGAAGATCCCAACTACAATATGAACTACTCACTTCCAATAAAATATACATATAAAAAAGGATAACAAAATATCAAACCCACATACTTTGTCTTTATAGAGCTGTTTAAGCTGAGCCACACCCTCAAACCCTTTCTCGACCAGCTTCCTCAGATTCCTGGGCCCCACACCTGGTATTGTCAGCAAATCGGGGCTCCCAACAACTGGCTGCGGTGCCCCACCTCCACCATCGCCGCCACCGCCACTTCTCTGCCTCCTCTGCACCTTCCCTTTCGCATTTTCTCCGTCGACCTCAACCTCACTCGCAGTCAACATTTCACCGTCGCCCTTATCCAAATTACCCGCCTGCGTCCCGTAGCAAGCCCTTCGGGCCCCACCCAAGCCGCCGCCACCTCTATCCTTCACAACCACCCATGCCCTAAACGGCAGCTTTCCACCGCCGACCTCTGCGGGGCGGCTGCAGGGACGGAATCGGCAAGAGGGTCTCCGCGTTTCCCTGAGACTGAGCTCCTGACGCGCGTCCACATGAAGGGGGTTCGCCGACCGGAGGCGTAGGGGATGCAGACAGCGGAGAGCGGTGGCGGCTGAAGAGGAGTAAGACATCCTCTGGATAATTCTGGATGCCCCGCCGCTGAAATCCAGAGATGGAAAGGTGGGGCTCGAGAAGGAAAGTGAGAAGGGCGTGTTAATGGAGATTATGAAGTGGCCAGAGGAGGAAGGGCTTCTGCACAGCAGCTTCTGCATAGCTATGGCGCATCTCACAGACAGAAGTTGTAAATTCAAACTAAAAAATTTCCGCAAGTGTGTGTGTGTGCGTGTTTGTGTGAGTTAATTTATATGTGTAGGATTTGTAAGGGGCTCCGAAGAATGGGGATGATGGAGAAGAAGAATAGCTTGTTTGAGGTTTCGAAGGGTTTTTGGGAATAAGAGAAATGGAGGGGTTTTTTTTTTCATCCCATTGAAGTTTCAATTGCGAACCGCTCGGAAAGTCGGAAGCTCGTTTTTTGCCCATTTTAAAAAAAAAAAAAGTAGTTAGAGTTAAATATTTTACATAATAATACTCCCTCCTACTCATAATAAGTGTCGTTTTGAGAAGTTGCACAGTTATTAAGAATATTTTTTTGTTCAATAATAACCCTAATTAATGAGGATAGAGATGAATGTTTTGAAAAAAATGATGAGTGAATATGAAAAGACGTTGTGTATTTATTAGCTAGATGGATGTAATAATGAAAAAAAATATGTACAAAATAAACAAAACGACATTTATTTTGTTAATAGTTGATAATGTCAAAATGACAAATAAAAAAATAGGAGGTAGTATAATTTAGCTCATTAACAAATTGATTTCTAGCTCATTTACAATTAACGAGTTAAACTCGACTGAGATTGAATTCCACTTGGCTCATCCCCTTCTCCTCTATATATTAATCCAGAACGTGCTGAACCTACGTGGCTGCTTCTGGTGCTTCGGAATCCTATGTGACATAATTACATGCTTCGTTATTAGGCTTGAGTAAATTTTAATTTAATTCCAAACCAAAAATAATTAGGTTCGGTTTACCATAAATATGTTGGTTATTTATGGTCATGTTACATGTATTAATTGCATTTTAATATCATTACTTATTATAACTATTGAATTATATATATATATTAAAAATTAATAACTTCTGTATTTTTTATCAGTTTTACATCCCCTCCCCTATATATAATTTCCGAATGCGCTGAGCCTACGTGGCTGCTTCTGGTGCTTCGGAATCTTACTTGGCGAAAAATCATGCTTCGTAATTAGGTTTGGACAAATAATATTGATATATTAATAATTAATAATCTAGATTCGAACATTCTATAAATATTATTTAGCTAACTTAGGTATTTTAAAATCACTTGTACTAATATAACTCTTTAATTTTTTATAATTTTACATAGTGAGACACTATGTGACTAATATATCCCTGACTTTTGATTTGTTTCCTTCAATTAGCTATTGAATTAAAAATATATTTTAAAAGTTGATAACTTTTGTATTTCTTATCGGTTTTACATATATAATATATCAAATTAATAATCTGTTCATTATCTTCGATTTGACATCCATATTGTATAAAGAAATTATATTTATCTTTATAATAATAAAAAATAATAATATTTATTAAAAAAAATTATTTCTCAGTTGATATATTTATGTTTAATGTAGTTATATGTTGTAAGTTAAAAAAATTATTATAATATAATACAAGTAAGTCACACAAATAAAAAGTGTCATACTAAATATATAATAATATATATATTTTTATAAAAGGTATTTAAATTTTCAACTATTTTTTCTCATTAATTTTAGATTTTAAAGAAAAAATTAGCAAGCACTCGTGTAATACACGGGTGTTGTACTAGTATGTTATATATCAAATTAATCTTCTTTTGATGAGCTTCGATTTAACATCTATATTGTATGTATAAAAAAATAATTAATATTTATCTTTATAACAATAATAAAATTATTTTTAATATTAA